TTCCTTGGCTCGCTAGATTGTACTGCAGAAATCAGAATGATTCCTTAAAATGATTAATAAAGAGCAATTAATTAAGTATAGATATCAAGGAATAATATGGAATAGCAAGATATGGCCTAGCTGACATATTCACTAATCAAAGAAAGTATCCACTAAGTAAAGTGTGTATAAGTCTAGATGATCGATGCCGCAGGGATTTTTTTTTGTGTGTGTGTGTGTGTGAGTAGGACCCAAAGCGTGGCAATTGAAAGATTATCCTCGTTATTTATACGCATCTTTTCGCTCAGTCTTCGGATGAGGAGAGACCCGAGGAATTTATTCCAGCATAAAGGCAACGATGAGGTAGGAAAAGGGGTACAAATGGATGGAATTGAAATCAATGTTCCGGCTCTAAACTTATCTAAAAGAAGGCTATTGAGTGCCTCGTCTAATCTAGAAATTCAAAAATGCCTCAAAAGGGCCTTAAATAGGGGACCCAGGGGCACACTTCACCTATCCCCCTTGGGTCCCCTATTTGAGGTCCGTGTAGTAGCACACCTAAAACTACATCAGTACTTTGGCACTGTTTGGCAACAAGAGATTGTGTCTTATCTAAAAGATTGTGTCTTATTGACTTTGGTCAATAAGCTAGTAGAGCTGTTTGGTGACCAAAAATAGAAGGAGATTATTTTGGAGATTGTGTCTTTTGCAAGTAGTTTTTGGAAAGCTACCTCAAGTAATGTTTGTCTTTGGGAAGGAGCTGTCAATTTTTTTCTTCCGTTTTTACCCCTAATAATTCTATTTTTATATCAATAATATTGCATGTCTTTTTTAGTCATTTAACAAATTTAAGCTAGTTGTACATCTACTTTTACCAAACAGCTCTCTAGTCAATCAGCTAGCTACATAGCTATCAGCTTTCAGCTACAATTTTACAGCTTTCAGCTATAATCTCGCAGCTTTCAGCTAGTTTTGCCAAACAGAGCCTTTATTCCAGGGATTATCGCCATCATTAAATAATCCAGGGATTACAATATAGGCAGCGCATATCATAGTTCTCCTTCTTACCCCTCGCACTGACTCTTTTAGGACTAATTAATTAATAGGTTCCGATCGAAAGCTTTTTTGCTGATTAAATTGACGCACAAATTAAACACATAATTGACGCAAAGCACTATGTAGAGGCTCTTTGATCCTATAGCTAATGGGCATTTGCTTTCTCTTGAGCGCGCACAGACTACACGGACGACGACATTGGGAAAACGGTAGCAATTATTGTGGGCATACTGGCGGGGCTTGCCGTCATAGTCGTCCTGCTCTCCTTCCTCAAAAAAGCATGTAAGCTTGATTTTTGAATCCCGCCCCCAGTCTTCTTGTCGATCCTCAAAGACTCGTTAGCCAAAATCTAATTTAGGATTCCTTTTTCTTTTCTTTTTTTTTTCCCTCCCCCCTCATTCTTCTGCAGGCTAGCAACAGAAGGTGATGCCATAACGCCTCGTAGAGAATAAGCTCTCTACCGTACGTATCGGTTTAGGCGCTGTAGTGGCGGACTCCAGCAGCTCCTATGCGGTGGCTAATGCCAAGCATCACCTACTGTATTTGTCGCAATGAGTACACGAGATGCAAATGTCCTGACTTTTAGAGAAGAACTTACTAGAAGCAAGTAGCGCTCGCGTGTGTATACACCAGTTTTTCAAAGTTGTCTCTACTCAAACTTTAGAATTTGAGATTGGAATATGTTGTTCGAGGCCGTCGATATGGAAGGGCTGCCTAGCTCTGATACCACTTTGTGAGCTCTAATCAAATATAGAACTCTTTATTTTGGCGACAGTTTGGTGGACTTTTATGACCTTTGAGGAAGCAAATATATATATATGCAAGGCTTTACTTGTATGCCTTTGCTTTGAGCCTTTTATTTTGCTTCTGCTTTCTTGATTTTACAAACATTAGCTAGCCCTTTATATAGGTGCTAAACTCTCACTAAGCAATTAAAACTTTATTTAGTACATAAAATAGATTTGTTCCTAAATTTATTTAGTGCCTAACTTTAGGTTTGGAATTTAATATTTCCGACATGCCTCCTCAAACCTAAAGTGTAGTCATGCCGAGCTTCTCTCTCAACCTTTTGAACGCATCAGCTGGTAAGGACTTCGTGAAAATATCTGCAACTTGATCCATTGTGGGATAGTACCCAAGAGTAATATATCCATTCTTAACATGCTCCCTGAGAAAATGAAATCTAGTGTCGATGTATTTACCTCTCCCATGTTGTACTGGATTCTTGGCAAGCTATGGCTAACTTGTTATCGACATAAATCATAGTAGATTCTTCTTGAGGGTGCTTCAAGTCCTTCAAGAAATTCCTCAGCCAAATTGCTTCACAAACAGTAAATGCTATTGCTACATATTCTGCCTCATGTTGACAAAGCAACAATATCCTGCTATTTTGAAGACCAAGAAAAAGTTATTGTACCAAGTTAGAAGATATACCCTATAGTGCTCTTTCTTTCATCTTGATCTCCTCCCCAGTCGCTATCATAATAGATGACTAGTTCGGCATCTTCTCCATAGGCATAGAAGAGATCATAGTTCATAGTGCTTTTAATATACCTCATAATTCGTTTTGTTGCAAACCAATGAGATTCCTTTGGCATCTCTATGAACCTACTCATGAGTCCTACGCCATGGACGATGTCAAGTTTAGTGATAGTGAGGTATCTCAAGCTTCCCACTAAGCTTCTGTTCTAAGTTGATTCAACAACTCTGTCATCTCTTTCTTTGTAGAGTTTGAGGCATGTAACAATAGGTGTGTTCACTGGATTGAGCTATCCATCTTGAATTTCTCGAGTATCTCCTTTGCATACTACTTCTGGGATATGAAGATCCTATCTACTTATTGATGTACTTAAATGCCCAAAAAGTAGGACATAAGTCCACAGTTTGCTATCATCTCAAACTCCTAAAACATTGCCTTCTTGAACTCTGAAAACATCTTCTCGCTATTTCCTATAAATAATAGATCATCAACATAAATGCATATAATAAGGATATCTCCACTATCGCCTTTCTTCATGTAGACTGCATCTTCAAAGGGGCATTTGGTGAAGCCATTATCATGTAGATATTTGTTGATGTGTGTATTTCATGCTCACGGTGCTTGCTTCAGGCCATAAAGTGCTTTCTTTCAAACGATACACTTTATCTTCTTCTCCCTGTACTATGAAACCATCAGGTTGTTCCATGTATACTTCTTCCTCGAGGACACCATTGAGGAAAGCTGACTTCACATCTAATTGATAGATTTTCTTGCTATGATGTGCTGCAAGAGAGATCAACAATCTAGCTGTGTCAAGTCTTGTCACTGGTGCAAAGACTTCTTCATAATCGACACCTTACTTCACTTTGTAGCCTTTTGCGACGAGTCTTGCCTTGTAGCGTTCAACTTCTCCATTAGCTTTGCGTTTGACTTATCCATTAGCTTTGCGTTTGATCTTGTACACCCATTTGACACTGATTGCATGTTGGTTAGGAGGGAGTGGAACTAGCTCCCATGTCAAATTCTTTTGAATAGCCTGGATTTCTTCCTCCATAGCAGATATCTAATATATTCTTGTACTGCTTCTTGAAACGTGAGAGGTTTGTGATCTGCATAAAGAGAAAAGAGATTTGTATATACATCCTCTTTAGTCTCATCATAAATGTCTTGCAAGCTCCTCATTTTGATTAGAGCTATGCTTGCTGGTGACGTGAAACTATCGGATGAAAATCTGCTGCTTCTGAATGATGATGCAGATAGCACTGAAATTCCCACTCATGAAGATGATGAGGCACCTTGTGTCAGAGTTTGTACACCTGCATCTTGATGTAGTTGCTGCTCAGGTACACAAATTTGAAAGTCTTCATCGGTTCATCTAGTAGAACTCATTTGCATTTGTCATTGTCTCGTTTGCTCCATGCCCATGCTACTTCTTCATCGAAAACTACATCTCTGCTCACCACAATTTTATTAGTTTGTAGGTTCTTTCGATTCTCCATTATAGGCGATAAAGATGCACTTTTCTCCCCAATCATTAAGCTTCTTTCTCTTTGCCATTGGTACTTAAGCATATGCAATGCAACCAAATACTTGTAGATGCTCCACATCCGATTTTTGTCTACTTCATGCTTCTTGTGGTGTCATGTTCTATACATTCGTTGTTGGACATCGATTGAGTAGATGGGATGTGCATGCAACAACCTCCGCCCAATATTTCTTTAGCAAACTTTTCTCCTTGAGCATTGCTCTTGTCACGTCGAGAATGGTTTGGTTCTTTCTTTTTGTCACTCCATTCTATTGCGGAGTGTATGCCGCTATAAATTATTGTTAGATGCTCACCTATCTACAATAATTCATGAACATGTTTGAGGTGTTTTCTTCACCTCGATTAGACCAAAGTACTTTTAATTTACAATTGCTTTGTGCTTCAACACGAGCTTTAAAGTCCTTAAATGTTTCAAATAGGTAGACTTTTCTTTAAACCCATAACTTTCTTCTATAGTCATCAATAAAGGTAATAAAATATCAATTACCTGCAAAGGAAGGTGGCTCCAATGGACCACAAATGTCGGTGTGTACCAACTGCAATATGGTTGTCACTCTCCAAGATTGTCCTTTAGGAAAGTGCAGTTGACGTTGTTGGGAAAGTGTTCACACCTTACACACATTATTTGTATGGTCAATTGTCGTGGAGTCCTTGCACTATTCTTCTTTGAGAGAGTTGAGTCAAGTCTTCAAAGTTTAGATGTCTGAAGCGCATGTGCCACTTCCATAACTTATTGTTCATGAGTCCGTGGAAGCACTTTTGAAACTCCGATTTGAGATGGAGAGGAATGTAGGCTGTCTAAAAATCACAATAGATAGTTAATCCCTCATCAAACACCGATGATGGAAGTTACAACCTGACGACTTCCAGAAGGCTACAATTTAAGGACTTTCACGTAGAAGGTTACAATCTGACGACCTTTACAATAACTAATGAAAGCTCTAATTCAACAGCCTTCACAATCAACATCTGGAGTTACAATCTGACGACTCTCGTATTTTCAAGGAGCCAAGACGAAGGTTACAAGGTGACGATCTTTGCAACGCTCTAGCAAAAGAGACTACAAATTGACGGTCTCTTCATATTAAAACGCAGATATCTCTCAAACCGTAAGGAATTTGGCAAAACGAAGGAAGCGAACTAAAGCCTTTGGCTAGGTTCGGATGGATCCATCTCGTAGAGATAGCCGATTTTTATATATAATTCGTCCAATTCCGACTTACGGTTTGAAAGTTATGACCTGTTCTTCACAGCAAGTCATGTTCTAAAGTCCGTCTGCAAGACTGGACTTCGTCTGAACATTGGACTTAGCCTGAAGCTCGCCGAGCCCGCCTGAGGATCACCTCTACATCCAAGATTAAAAATGCAGAGGTCATGCCTGCGTTCTAAATTCAAAACGCAGAGGTCGTGACCTCATTTGAAATTCAAAACGCAGAGGTCGTGACTGCGTTCCAGATTCAAAACGCAGAGGTTGTGACTGCGTTCCAGATTCCAAACGCAGAGTTCGTAGACTCAAAGCGCAGAGTCCATGCAGAACCCATCTCTGCGTTTCCCAAACACAAAACGCACACGGACTGTGCGTTCTCCAGCAGACATCTAACTCTATAACGCAGAGTTAAAGCACAAATGCACACATAACGTGCGTTCTTCAACAAACTCAACCATGCGTCCCAAACTCTTGATGCAGAGTTGAATTTCGACGCACAAGCGACCTGTGCGTCTCTAATTCCAGAACGCATGCGGCCTGTGCGTTTCAAACCTTTGACAAAGGTTTAACTCTACGTCTCAGGCCTTAGACGCAGAGTTAAGGCCCAGAACGCTGTTTTCAGCGTTTGACTCGTTCAAGCATGATTTGAACGGTTCCAGAACCGTTTTCTCCCCATGATTTGAGGGGATCACTACCCTATCATGGAGAGATTCATGGGGGGCAGTTACACACCATTAAACCCTCATTAAGAAGAGATTTAAGGGGGCGGTTACACCCCTAAATCCCATATAAATAGTGGGAAACTCAACTGAGTTCGGAGCGGGGGGATCCTTCTTTTTTGGGGGCTTTTTTTGGCTGACTTTTTGGGGATCCTTGATCGGGCATCTTTGAGCTTTCTGCAGCAACAGAGAGCTTTGGAGATCAGCAACTTGAAGGAGCTCTTGAATCATTTTGAAAGGCTTTTATTGAAGCCTTTGAAATTATTCGGCCTTGGCTTATAACCGACTTTCGGTTCAAATCAACTCTTTTTCAAGAGGTCAAACTCGTTCAGAGTTATCAACTCGATCAGAGTTCAAAACTTGCTCTGTAAGTTCTTCTAAAACTCGTTCAGAGTTATCAACTCGTTAAGAGTTATATTCAAACTTATCACGCAAATTCTCCACAGCGTCAAATCGTGAGGAGAAAATCACGTTCCAGTGAATCAAGACGTTCGGATCGTCAACGAGAAGCAAACTCGACGCGAGCATTTGAGGGAGGCATCTCATCGCCACCGTGAAGAACCCAGAATTAAACAAAGGGGAGAATCAAATTCATTCTCCTCTCTTTTGTAATCGGAATCCAAATTGTAATCGATTTTAAGAGAAATACAAGTCAATTTTTATTTCATTGTCTTTTTACTGTAAAATTTCCAATAAACAAAAGATGGCGACTCCGCTGGGGACTAGCTTCTCTGACGAATAAGTGGTGGCGCAATCCGACGTTCATCTCACTGGAACGACCGTTGAAACTCTGATTATCGAGTTTGATCAAGCCAAATACGATGAGGCCCTCTCCTCCGGATCCCTTAGCCCCAAGGCTATGCGCAAGATCCACAAACTCTCCAAGGAGACTAAAGCTCCAATTGTTGCTCCTACGCCAAAAGAATCTCTCTCCTTTAGCCGAGATTGCTCGAGTAGCCCCTCCTCTAAAGGAGTGGGCTCAGTTTATGCCAAACGCAGCCTTCAGTGGCGCGTTATGCAATCAAAACGCAGCCTTCAGAGGCACGTTCCAACATCTAAACGCAGACCTCAAAACTGCGTTGATCTGGCTGAACGCAACTCTCAAGACTGCGTCCCAGAACCAAAACGCAACTCTCAGGAGTGCGTTCTAACATTTAAACGCAGACATCAAACCTGTGTTGATCTGGCTGAACGCAACTCTCAAGAGTGCGTTTCAGAACCCAAACGCAACTCTCAGGAGTACGTTCTATCATTTAAACGCAGACATCAAACCTGCGTTGATCTGGCTAAACGCAACTCTCAAGAGTGCATTTCAGAACCCAAACGCAACTCTCAGGAGTGCGTTCTATCATTTAAACGCAGACATCAAACCTGCGTTGATCTGGTTGAACGCAACTCTCAAGAGTGCGTCCCAGAACCAAAACGCAACTCTCAGGAGTGCGTTTCACAAACTGAATGCAACTCTCAGGAGTGCGTTTCAGAATCCGAACGCAGATCGCAGGACTGCGTTTCACTAGCAAAACGCAGACTTTGGTCTTGCGTTAATCAAGCTAAACACGACCCTCGTGTTCCTTCTTTGGAACACGATGGGATTCGTCGTGTTCAAAATAATCAACATGGATTTAAAATTCATGTTTACCAAGAACCAGTCCCATCCTTTAACAGACAGGGGGTTCCATCTTTACCCTCACGCTTCGTGAGAGGTTCATCCCAAGTCTCTGACTTGCGGGAATTGCTGTCGATGTTCAACCGACCGACGAATGTCGTTTTGCTCAATAATCGACGACATCCTCACAGGATGAAGACTTTAGAGGATGAATACCTTAGAGTCACTTCTAACATGGTTGGTAGAGGGAGATCATCAACCCTTAGTTCTGACGAGTCAGAGACAGATCGTTCTCCAAACGTCAGAGAAATCACTAATGAGTTTGAAGGAATCTACCAGCGTACTCAGACTCGAACAGGAGCCATTCCTCCTATCAACTATCGGAGTTTAGCCAGAGAAACTAATTCCGATGACGAACACTCTGCCATTGCGGAGTCCCAATCATCAAGCTCTTTCGTTGGGCATGAGAGCTTCGCCCACATGGCAGAACATTCTGAAGACCTTTCAAAGAGACTTGATGAACAGGAGGCCATGCTCAAATCTCAACAGGAGGCCATCAATGAACTCATGGCCATGTTGACTCAAATCGTCGCAGACAAGGCCAAATCTCAGGAGACAGATTCGCCGCTTAGGCAAGAATCTTCCCGGAGAGGAAAAGCATATTCATCCCGACCTCACACAAGCAAAGGGAAGGGAAAAGTAGTTGATGATGCGGTTTCTGACCAAGAAGCTCACAGCCTGGAATCTTCCTCTGATGAAGGAAGAGAGACTGAGAATGAGCATAATCTTCAGTCTGCCAAAATGGAAGAATTGAAAGTCCGCCTCAAAGCCATTGCTAATAGAAGCGAGCTCCAAGATGAGGGAGTTATCAGACCCTATCCTGCCGAATGGGATGCAGCTCCTTATCCTCCAAAGTTCGAGGTCCCGACGCTACAAACTTTTGACGGCACGGGATCACCGAACCAACATATTTATCATTTCAAGTCACAGACTGGAAATGTAATATCAAACGATGCCATACTGGCTCGATGATTCATTGGCACCCTCAAGGGAATTGCCTTTGAATGGTTCAGGAAACTGCCTGCGGGCTGTATCCAAAAGTGGGCGGATCTAGAGAGACTCTTCCTGTCAAGATTCTTTGAAGAGGATACAGAAGTCTCCATCCATACCCTTCTTGCTACTAAGCAGAAGAAGAGGGAGTCCGTCAAAGCCTATGTCAAAAGATTCCGATCCATGGCTCTCCGGTGTT